TTTACCATCCGGTCTCTGGCCTCGTCTGTAACACCGCGGGTACAACAGTTTCTATCTGATTATAATCCAAAGGAAGGTGATGTTCTTATTAGTCACAACTACAAGAGTCAGCCCTGAGTAAGATTGTTAGAGATGAGCAGGGGGTGGCCTTCATGGTGTCTCCTAGTTACGGACTCTCTTAGATGTAGTGCTTGCATAAGGGCCAGATTCCAGTGTTAATATAGATTGCCAGAGGGGGAGCTTGAGCAGCCCTTCAGCAGGTACAGCGGCTGAAAAGCCTTTCCTGGGAGCAATGTCCTCATTACCCAAAATGCTCTTTCATTTGGACCTCTTGTGATTTTTAAACTCATCTGCCTTGAATCCAGTATCATTAAGACTATGATATAGAATATATTGGGTGGGTAGAGACTTGTTCTCCCCATGCAGAGGAAGGCAGGACGCGCTCCAACGGAGCAAAGCTCAGGGAACCAAGGTTCCATTTAGATGCCAGGAAGCACTTCCTGACAGTCAGGACCCCAAGGGTGTGGAATGGGCTTCTGCGGGAGGTGGTTGAGGCCCCATCGGTGAGGGTATTCAAAGATAGGCTAGACATGCACATGGTAGGCATGTTGTGAGCTGAGCCAGCTGGAGCTGGGGGTCAGACTAGATGGCCCCAGAGAGCCCTTCTGACTCGCTCTGTTTCTATGTTTCTATATGGCTGGGCACAAAATTTGACTCTGGGCAGATTCTTCTTAGGATGTTCTCTCGAACAAAGCAGTGGAGCTTCTGATGTATTGAGGGGGACAGACTGTGCAAGCTTTGCCACAAACTTAAGAAACCTGCTCTGTGAAACCTGATCTGCTGCAACAATGCCTTTTGCTGTCATTGGGGCCCTGTGTTGGGTTACCAGAAAACTGTGCCTGACAATAACAGGCTAACTGTCCTCTGTAAAGAAGGACACATGGCCACCCTAAGCCCTGCTTACTTCTGCAGTGAGGATGTGCACAAGATTATAGTTCTGGAATGTGACATTTTTGGTACACGTGAGTAGGATCAAGGTGCGAAAGGCACAAGGAATTGACCTGGATACTAAAATGAGGGTTTATTTTACCTCTTAAATACCAGTCTAACAGACCTCCATTCTCAGAAAATGATTTATCAGATGTTATGGATTTCCCTGTGCTTCCATTAATTGGTGCAATCTTCCCTTGAGATATTATATAATAACTGTTAGCCTTAATGGGTACTAGATTCATTGTAAAATAGTTCCATTAATATGCCAGAGACATGAATTAAAAGCTAGGGGGTGTTTTGTAAAAGCATTTAAGCATTGTAGATTCCAGTTTGACTGGCTGGATCCATGCTACTCACTCAGACATATTTAGTCCAAATTTAGTTATCCACCAGTTTTCAAATATGCTGAATATTCTTGACTCAAAAAGCACCTCAAAATGTACTGAAGCTTCTGTATTTTGAGAGATAATACTTTAAACTCATTTTTATAAAGTGGGATAAATCTGGAATTAATGTGGGAATGAGATGAAATGGACAAATCAACACGTGAATATGACACAGACTAGTGACCAACACTGTGTCTGGAAAGTGCTCAGTGGTCACTCTAAGGCTTGCTAAACTACAATTCCCAGGGTTCCCTAGTTGTGATATATGGCAGTTAACTCTGAGACTGCATTAAATGTAGTACATGCTCATGTTTTCAGAGTATATCAAAGGTGTGCCACCATTTACTGAATTCCATCATGTATGCACAGCTGAGTACGATCCCTCTGGACTGAGTTTTCTAAGCAATGCTGCTGCCAATTATTGGAGGCCAAAGGACAGTTATGTCTAAGAACTGCTGAGTAGCAAAGAGGTACATCATAGAGGATAAATATTCTGTTTTCATTTGTAGTTGCTATGTTTACTTGCAGTACTCCAGGAGGCTAAAGTGCAAGGATGTTTTAAAGGCACATAGTAATAAAAATACTATGTTATCAATGAAGCAATACTTAATCACTTCCAGGGGTCTCTTAACAACTAAGTTTCTGTGATTGCAAAGAGATTCAGTATTTTTTCCCCAGCTGTAAAACCTTTGTTTTATTAGGCCAAGAAGAAAGGTTGAATGATGCCTATGTGTGTAATAGGAAGACAGGCTGTGATGGGAATGGATCTAGGGGCCAAGCAACGTGTTTTTCAAAGCATACATAGAATGCCATTTTGGCTAATGGATGAGATAAAAGTCAAATAAATAAATAAATAACATAGGACTATGGTGTTCCAGGATGCGCTGGAATTTAAGAATCTCCCATTTTTGCTGGAAAAGTCATATCCCCTAGCACAGAAATCAGAAAGAAGGGGGAATCTCCATATGAATCCAGTGGAGACTTGTATTGTTAACTCTTCCATGAGGGACCTGGAATTTTGAGACAAAAAATGGGAGGGGAACGTTTAAATCCCCCTTTCAAGAGTGCCCTTTTCCAGATCCAAACAAGGCTGCACACGCTGAGGTAAATAAGCCACACATATTCTTGTGCATGATTCTTTAAATGTGTAGTTTGGCCCTAAAAGGGTTTGACTTTCAGGAGGAAGCCCTATGGCATCATAGGCTACCTACACAGATGATGTAGAACAAGGACCTAATACTGTGGACCTTCCTCTGAAACCTGGACTAAATAAGCCTTAGATGATCAAAAGACCACAAGTCTATAGTAATCCTTTCTCAAGAAACAACTCTGAGCAAGCGCTGATGCTCCTGGAACTTCTCATAGTCAGAGGTGAGGGCTCATGAGCATAAGAGCAGAATAAAATGCTTCCTTCTCCCAGGAAGGGCAAAATGTACAGCCCTGCACTGTGTTTGTATGTGTAAGGCATGGTGCTTTATGGATGAATGCCACTGAGTAATAAACAAGTGAACAGAGTCCCAGCAGTCATGCTTGAGCCCATTCAGGGCCTATGAGAGCCTGCAAAATCATATGAAACAGGCTGGCATTTGGTGAGATCATGGGTGAAAGACCCCTTAGGAAGTTCAAATGTGAGTGAAGAAAGTGCAAAATTGGTCGGTCCTGCAGAAGTGGGCTTGGCCGAAGCAGAGCCGATGAGATGGTTTGAGATAGTCAGTTACAACTAGGAGAGTGGGTGAGTCAGACTGCTGACACTTGTGGGATGAAGGTACAGATTTAGGGGTTGATTTGCAGAATGAGCAAGTAATGCTGAGGGAGCAAACACATGACCTCACCTTGTCTTGTCTATGACCAGGACAACTGAAAGCTGTAAATTTTCTGCTGACCAGTGAGGAGCCTTGTATGAATAGGCTCTTCTGAAGTTGCATACTGTACACAAGGAACAGCTTGTGTGAACAGTTATTTCTAGAGGGTGTAGATGTTTGCAGTGCCATCTGCCTGAGCTCCTAGGTTGGTGATTTCCCAAGGGTCAATTAGTGTGCAAATTGAATAAGCAAAGAACAAAAGACTGATTGGGTGGTAGTACATGATTATGCTTCAGAAAAAAATTATAAAGCAATCCAGTTCCAACTTTGAGAAGTGAGAATACCTCTGAATAGTTTTCAGTGGAATTTAAAGATCTCTCCATATAATAAAGCACTAATCTTTCAGGTTTTGACTATGTGATCTCATGTAGAAAACCCTCCAAAACCCATGCTTTAGAGCACAATTCAATGCTTGTCTATTGAGAAATAAATTCCATCACATTCAGTGTAGTTCGCTTACCCATAAGTATGTCTGGAACAGCAGCCTCAGACTCATGTGGAAGTATTTCTGACTGCTAGCTCTTTTTCCCAAAGCAATTTATTTCCTGATCTGCATTGCAATAAGGGAAAGAAGTGGAAATATCCTCTAACTAGTGTATTAGAAAGTATCGGAGAAGAATAGATCATTAACTAGTATCATCATTTCATACCCCATATCTGCTGGCTATGAATGAACACACCAAACTACGGATAACTAGGAAAACATCAAACCAGAATTAACCAGGAGGTTTCTTTGGCATTCAGTGTCTAAGGATACCTAAACTCAGAAGGCAGCAACAGTCTTAATGTTACTCCTGGGAACATAAATGTATTAGAAAGTAACTGTGTAATTCACTGACTGCTGCTAAATCTTCAGCACATGGTAGTCAAATAAAAGGAGAATAACCATAACAGCACTGTGGCAAAGATAACCAAAGTGTGGTAGATGGTTCCTTTATTGAGCGTAGGTGCTGATCTACATAATCAAAATATGATGGGGTATAAGCACTAAACACTGCAGGTGAGGGAACCTTTCTCTGTCAGAAACTCCCCACTGTTAAGTAAGGTAAGAATATTAGGGAGAGTGTTAGAAAAGAAATATTCTTCCTGGCTCCTTTTCTGAATGTATGTGGGTTCCTTCCTCTCTCTTCCTTTCTATGAGGGGTAAATTGAAACAAGTGATCTCTTCCCCTTTGCTCTTGAGCTGTGTGATTCTTCTTCCAAATTTGCACCTCAAGGATAAAAGTTGTTCTGATCTGTCAAATTATGAGATAGCTCCCCTTTTCTCCTTTTCTAGTTTTTATGCAGTGATTGAAGTGAACATGACAGACCATTGGTGATTCTTTAACGACTGTTAATAACTTTGCTTAAAAGAAGCCACTGTGTATAATATGGGATGGCCCATATGTGCTGATGTCACTTTGATGGATGGATGCAGCATTAGTTTAAGTACCTTTCTGCCTGTCTGTATCCCACCTGTTCAAATTGTACCTTTTTAAGTAAATAGAAACATCACATATCCCGGATGCACTTTCCACATTAGGAAGCTGACCCTCGAAAACTTCCTTAGAGCTTCTTACCACTAAAGGAAGTCCAGAGAATGAAAGGCTTTCCAGGTTTACTCTCTCAGCTGCTCACAGCACCGAAGTAGTGTGGTAGAAAAGCAGCCTAAGTACCTTCAGTATGGAAAAGGCCTTTTGTATGGACCAGATCATCTTGCTCATGTGCAAGCAGTCTGTAGGATCAAGTACTAAAAGGATTCTGTTCTGTTTTCTCCTAGGCATTTCCTGGAAATATAAATTCAGACAGCGTGGTGCGGCATGATTTACAGCATCCGGTGATCGCCCGCTATGTTCGGATAATTCCTCTGGACTGGAGTGGAGAGGGGCAGATTGGGCTGAGGACTGAGATCTATGGCTGTCCTTACTGTAAGTTCTTTAAACTTCTGCACTCACCATCAGCTTTCTTGAAAACACTGTGATATTTTCTTCCAGTACAATCAAAGCAAGTATAATCTGAATATGAAGGTTCTGAGTCCAACAAGTAAAGGCGGTCTGGATGTGGTTATATTTATGCAATATATATATGGACTATGTGAACTAATGTAGCACAGAGATCCTGAGTTGTGAACAGAGGAGTTCCTGGGTCAAATTTTGGCCATTCCATGGCATTTCAGTGCCTGTAGGCAAGACAGTCTCCTAGTCTGAGCCCTCCATCTGAATCTCTGAATTATTATTTGCTTATTTTATCTGGCCAGGGCGACTTATTTTATATTGTTATTTCTTGTATTTTAATTTTATGTTGTGAGCTGCCCCGAGGCTTCGGCGAATGGGGCGGCATAGAAACGTTTTAATAAATAAATAAGTAAATAAATAAATCTCCATCTTTCAAAACTACTGTCCTAGTTTAGAAAGTTATTGGGCTCATTCTTAGATAATGCTAATGGTAGCATTACAAGAATGAGCCACAGGGTGCCCTCCATCATGATTGCTTTTGGGTTTTTTAATTAATAATAGTTTGCTATGCCATCCAAGACCTAAGTGTTTCATCTTAACTATAAAGTTGAAACAAGCCAACTTCAAACCATAGTTTATCAAGCTGATTTTTTTCTGTTAATCACAGTTGCAATTATCTACAGGATATGGTTTATATTATAAGATAAATTGCATTTAATCTAAAAGAGAAGTGAAAGCTTCTGATCTCTTCCTCATACCAGGGGAGGGGAGGGGAGGACATGAACCCAAAGTGTGCTGAGGGTTGTTTTCCTCCCACTAAGCCATGGGCTAGCATTATGTCCAAAAGCAGCTACTGTTGTCAGATTTACTGAGTTAATATTTGTGAAGTGCTTTGAAACCTCAAGAGCACTATGTAAAGGTGAAGTAGTTCTTATTTTATTATTTCCTGCAGCTATATTACCTAGTTAATATATGTACATTACAATTCTTGTTCAAATTTTCAAGACAGTTTTTTTTTAACAAGGTAGATCCCATTGTACTTTACACCATAGTATCATTCATTTCATTTGGTACCATTGCTGCTCTCAGAGTCAAATATTGTTCCATTTTGAGCAAACTCCACAACTCCCACCCACGCCAACATATAGCACATATAAGGGAAAGGCTTTAAAAGCCCTAAAGGAAACAAATGGAAAACATAATGAAATTCATGGGTTTGTATTCATGACTGTCATAGCAAAACTCTAGGTTTTCTTAGTATTTCATATTATTCTAGAAATTCATCCATTCATGCTGCTAGATACTCTTGCATTAGAAATCCAGGTATCAGTACAACCAGCATAAAGAATTGTATTCTACCACAGCCCCTTTCCCACGGTCTTCATCGTGTGGTCACTGAACATCTATTTATTTATTATATTTACATGCTGCCTTTTTCCTGCAAAGAAATCAAGTCGACTTACATCATTCCCCTCCTGCTGCTCATAATCCTATCCCCACCACAACAACCCTGAGAGGTAGGTTGGGATGAGATTCTGTGACTGGCCCAAATTCACCCAGGTGGCTCCATGGCTGAGTGGGGCCTAGAACCCAGATTGCCTGAGTCCCAGTCCCACACTCTCAACCCCTACACCACACTGGCAGTGGGAGAGTGATACCATGTTTGCCAACCTGACTTACATCTGCACAGAGTTGCTGGAGAGAGTTTGCAGGTGCATGAGAGTCTGTGGTCCCTGCTTTTTCTTAATATGTGGAAGCTGGAAAGGAAGCACAGTTGCAGTTTCATGCACCACAGTGTTTGAATGCCCCTACTCTTGCTCTCCATTCAGATACCCCAAAGGTTTTGCATCAGCAACACCAAGAGATGTGTGAGGAATCTAGTGAACAGATGCTTTGGTGTGAGTCAAGCCAGCTCATGGACTTCCATCCCTAAAATGGACCATGATTTGCATATTTAACTATTAATTATATTTGCATAAGCACCCTGAAATAATGTGGCTCTAATGTGCTTTGTGAAAAACTACTCAATTTGCACAAATTTCACTACAGTCACGTGGTTTGGGAGTGTCTGTTTGTGCAAATTTCATAAGGAGCTAAAAATCTATGCACAAATTGTGATCCTTCTTTCTTGATAGAAGTCAACCAAACACTTCATGATTTCAGCCTGCTTCCAATCACAGGTTCAGAAGTAGAAAGGAAACCTGTTGAGCTCAACTGCACTAGATTTCTCTGAATCCCTAGTTCTACCACACCCGAAAACGCTATTTTTGGAACCAACTGTCCATTCACTCTTACCAGTCAGCAGCCATGATTCTGGGGCTACATTTTTTTCTCCCTTTGCTCGAAGGAGCCCAGAGGCATGGGTGGAGAAGCTATTTTGCAATTATGCAAGTGAGATAGTTAAGTCTGAGGGAAAGTGACTTCCAAAACCTGCACAGTGATTTAGACCTGGGATTCTGACATCGAGACTCAGCGTGACGCCTACCACACTATCATGTGGGGTGGCAACACTGTGGGAGACACCCAGATAACGATTGCTTCCGCCCAGCCCCCGATTCTGTGGTGCCCGCATGATGAAACCATAGTACAGGTCTAGAGAAGTGGTTCCTTCCCACATGTAAGCATTGTTTGAGTAAGGATGATGTTTGCGTGGGAAGGATTCATGCCATTGTGCCTGCCCATGTGCTTCCTTCCTGTCCATGTTGCCAGGGTTCTGTGGCATGAAGCTATGAGAGAAGAGGCCCCATGATGCTGTCAGGAAAATGAACGTAGGCCAAGGCAATTCTTAAAAGGGACTGGAGGCAACTCTGAGTACATCAAAGTCATGTCAAACTTTAGTCATTTTTCTTACTTCATTGAGGCTAACAAATGTCATTACAGAATCCCCCAGCAACAAGAATGGATTAAGGTGGCTTCTAGAATGGTATCTTGTAGGGATACAACAGTAGGTGATAATTGCTTGGAGCCCTGTCTAGCAGTCACATGATCTAGCACTGGATGAAACTCCAAATCAATGATATATATTTTACAACAGCAAATCTCATGGTTACAATCTTCAGAAATCATATCACTGATGGTATTTTGCTATAAGTGCTTAAGATAGTTCCACATGAAGGCAGAGGACCAGAACATCACCAGAACACCAAGAGACCCAGTTCCCCTGCCCCCTGCCAAGTAAAGGACCAGAGCCAAGTCCAGATACTCAGACAAGGGGCAGATTGGTGCCAATCCCAAATGCTCTTGTGACAAGGGAAGACATCCTGGTAACAGCCCTGGCCTATCCAGACACCTCCACAGAGATCTGATCCAATTTTGCCACTGAGTTGAAATCTCCAGGGTTCTGTGAATAAGCCTTAGGGTCTGCTCAGTTCCTATTGGCTCTTTAGACAACATGAGTATCTTGTCTTAAAGCCCATGAGATGAGGGAAGGGATTCTGAAAGATGATCTAAACCACAATGTGCACCTTCACACAAGTCAAGATGAATGCCACCACTTGGATTCTATCTTCTGAGAACCTTCTGAGCCCAGGCCTCTCAACAATCAGGGTCCAGGACAATGTCAGACCTGCATCCAAAATACTTCTCTACATGCAGAGATCCCAGTGTTCAAAGATCTCAGCCTTGGAATCGTTGTACCACATCGGTCAAGGTATGGGAAGATCCAGAATTCAGGAATTAACCCCGAGCCAGTCAGCTCTGAATTCCTCGGTGATGAGGACAAAATCCATAGCCCCAAAGGATGCATAAGCCTTTGAGTTCAAGTAAAAAGAAAGATCCATACAATGCAGAATGCCCTCACAAGCTCAACTGGTGATAGATCCAAAAGAAGGATGCAGGCAGGGAAGTTCAGTATTTTCCCATTCCACTAATTGACAAGGGGGAGGGTGGCCCATCCACAGGTTCCCTAACCCACCCAGCTATTTCCATTCTACTCTTCAGGGATGAGTCTTCAACCTGAGTTACACCTCTGCAAACCACCCCTCTCCTTCCTCATTAGGTTCCCACAAGAGAAGCTGATACCTCCTTCTCAATGCTGAAGCCAGTAACTTGCCTTCCCCACTGTTGTTTTTGTGTGAGAACACCAGAACAGATAAAGGCAGACATGTCTTACATTCCACAGGCCAACTAGGTCTCCAAACTGTTACCAAACTCAGCCAGTCAACAGCTAGGGCAAACCTGGATGGACCCCAGACCCGAGCCAAAAGGAGCCTGAGATGAGACTTAGAGCCAAAATCAGCTTTATTCTAGTGCACTATAGAATAAAGGGAGACAAAAGGGAACGTTCAGCCCAAAGCAGTGTCTCAAATGTTGCACCCTGGTACATGCATTTTATACCCTAGGTAACAAATTAGGTCACCTAATATACAACTAATGTATTGATACATCAATGTATGCACCCCCCTCCTGTGCTGGAGAAAGAGTCCTTTCTTCTGTCAAGGGCCAGACATTTCCCATGTCTATTTCTTATCAGCTCGAGATTCACACAGGCTTGCCATGTTCTTACTCCCTGCACATTTGCAACTTTCATGGTGGCTAGAACCAGTTTCCACTGTCCCTTTGATTACTGTATTCGAGGTCAGGCTAGCGTGTTAGCTGTGGGTTACACAAAGTTCTTTTGTTCTTATCTGCCCTCCCTTCTGGGACAGTATAACTGTGGTGTTTTTACTATGTGGCCTTCCTCTGGCCAACTACTTTTGGGGCCTTCCTCTGGCCAACTACTTTTGGGGTGTTTTGGGGTGCTACAATTGCCAACAAAAGCCTTCTAGACTATTTCAGACCAGTTTCTGGCTATTACCCTACAATTACTGAAGAGCTATAATTCATTTATTGGTGGTGGGAGGGGGGAGGGGTTCCATGCAACATGACAAGCAATGCTGGTTTAGAACCATTTTTGTTCTGTTGTGTCTTGACATGTGAACCCAACCATTGTCTACCATCTGGAAGCACTGAAGAATAAAGATGTATTTTGAACC